TAATGGGCCTAGCGGCGTTCTTGGCAACCATCTTGTTTTGTGCTGGCAGCAAGTTCTGGCATCTTCTCCGCCAAGGGTAACAACCCTCGCATCAGTAAGTCCTGCATTCGACACCACAAAACATTTTGCTTAAACTCTCGATCCGAATTGAAGAGTGATTTTCAGAATGAACAAAATAAAAACAGCAATTTGCAGAAAATATCATGTATGAAAAAGTGTATACTGTAATACTGTACAGAACTGAGTAATATCACTGCATCTGTTTGATTTAGGTAACATTGATCCTTTTTCCCAATATTTATAATAAGATATTTCAGTTTGTTCCATACTGCATTAAGTCAACCGACTTAGTAAATTTTGAAAGAAATTGGATAACTATGAAGTAGTGGGCATATTATAAGTAGCCACAGATCTAAGAAAATTTCCACTTTAAAATGTAAAATAAAATGAGAATATAACTTAAAATGTTAACAAAATCATGCATCCAATGTAACATAAACTACGTAATTATTGCAGTCTAACGGAATATTGCTAATAAATGTGCCTCCATATTAAATTTGCCACTAGAAACTACAGCAACTGTTTTGCTGTAATCTTCATTCACTTCATTTTCTTCAAATCTTCATGGTCTTTCCATCTTTTCATTGGACGACTTCAATTCCGTTCTTCCACTGGTTGCTAATTAAGTGCCAATTTTGGTAGCCACTCATCCTGCATCCTTTCGACGTGTTCGTTCCAATTCTTCTGGCACATCTAAATTTCTTCTATTATGCTTTCTACTTCCAATCTTTCCCTTATATCAACACCTCTTTGGCGGTCTAATTCGTACATCCTAGTAATGGCCTCAATAATCTCTTCTGCGCCGCTTCCAAACGTTGTTTATCTCTTTTATTTAACATCCATGTCCCACTTCCGTATTTTAGAGATGTTTTCGCTGCTATTTGTTTACAAAATTTCTTTTTATAATCCATTGATTCTGTTATATGTTTTTTAATTCTATTCCATGTCTTTCTTATAATCTCTGATCTTATTTCCTAAATAGTTAAATTCTGTGACTTGTTCAATAATTTTTCCTTCTATTATTATTTTCAGTCTTCGAATTTTAATTGCCACACATTTATATAGATTTTGTTTTTGAGGCGGATATTCTCAAATAACATTTCTTGTCGATGTTATTTAATCGATACGCTGCAATCTGAAATTCATCTTCTGATTTCGTTACAAGTACTTGGTCATCTGCATAAATAAATGTTTCTATTGTACTTTATTGTTTAATTTCCATTTATTACACTCACTTCCTGTTTCCATTATTAGTCTTAGGGCCTGGTTCGTTCTAATTATTTCTGATATTTGTTCATTCATGTATTTTATACAAATCATTGTATTCTTATACAAACATTTTATTTCCCAGATTACGTATGTGTGTACCTTTTTTATGTTAATATTTTCCAGATCTTATCACGATCCTGAATATAGTAAACTTTCTGATAATCTATGAACAGTAGTTAGGTTGGTACATTTTGCTCTCTACTATTTTATAATATTTTATTAACTGTAAATACTGCATCTACATACCCTCTTCCTCTTCGGTATAAACACTTTTCTTCACGAACAATTTCTTCTGTATATTCGTTTAATTTATTCTTCAAAATATTTGCACTTTCCACTGTTATTCACATTTACTTTTCTATACAAACTCATTATCAGTCCTACTTCCCGGTCCTTTGCTATCTGTTTGGATTTCCATATACCTTGAGTAGAGCCAGTAGTTTGTCTTTTAGTATATTTTATTCATATTTAAATAATTGTATTGATACAGTATCCAATCCAGAATTATTCCTTTTCTTTGTTTTTATTACTGCCTTTATATATTTTTCTGATTTATTCTGTGTTCTCATCTGTGTCATCGTCCACTACTCCTTCCCCTGTTTCATTCATTGGTTATTTCTGTATTCCATTATTCCGGGCGTCTTTAGTTATCAAATTTAAT